GTGTTGTTTAGATAAATTCTCAACTAATTAAACTATCAAGAGTTTAATGTTGAAAACAATTCTAATATATCACTAGCAAGCTTTACTAAATTTGCGGGTGCCTATACATTCTTAACTTGAATTATCAAGAGTTTAATTTTGAAAAAATAAAACATTTAATTAACAATAATCCTTACTAAAACCTAAGATGCATTCACATTCTAAAAGAATTTGAACTTTTAATCGCCAAGGTATTCCTCGAGGACTCTCAAATTAATACCAAAATTGTTATAAAGTTTCTGTCTTTAGACTTTCTTCTCCTGAGTGAGGGATGGAAAGAAAGAAACTAAGGAGCGCGTAGGGGTTAGACTATTCTTCCAACGCATGGACAGATCTGAAGTGGGACTCATGTATGTGCCCCCACAAGGGCAACCGCCACCATCAGATCCGGCTGTTTGCATCTGAACCACACATATAATAATGTACTTTTAATATTTTAATCAAAACAATTTGTTGGATCAAGAAAATAGTCAGCTTTAAGAAGAAAAAAATAGTAGCAGAGGGCTAGAAGTTAGTGAATGCAAGAGAAAAACCGATGGAGTTTGGTGGGAGGTTTCAGTAAACTTAGGCCCAATATTCTTCTTGGGATTGGCAGTAAAAAGGACCTCAAATCCCCTATAAATACTACCCTTTCTCACCCTAAACCTACACACTACACCTCCACCCTTTCTCACCCTAAACCTACACACTACTCCTCCTTTGAATCTCTCTCTCTCTCTCTTTTATCTCTATATTTGACTTCTCTTTCTCCCTTAGCCCTCTTGACCTTTCTCTTTAGAAGCCTTTCTAGGGTTTGTTCATTGGAGGGCTTTGAAGCTATAAGAATCTATTTTTAGGTGTTTTGTATGTAGCCCTTTCATGGAGAGCTTAATTTGAAGCTTCTAAAAATATTTTTTGGTGTGTTTGTTTGTGACCCTCTTTGTATTCTTCCACAGCTTTCTTGAACTGCACCTATTAGATTTATGCATGTTGATGTTGTTGTGCGATATGCCATGACCATATGACATTGTATTCATTTTTGTTGCGGTTCAATAAAGCTGTGGGAAGATACAAACAGGATCAAAGAAAGTTCCTATTTCTTCGTCGGACTCGGCATCAATGATCGGTGTATAAGTTCTTTTATCATCTAACTTTCTTGAATTTTTTGTTTCATAAATGATGATCTCTTGGATCCCAACTGAGTTTAGGGTTTTTTAATTTTCTTTTTACTAATTAATGCCTGCAAATATTCTTATGAATCTTTCAATCTCTTGTTTCTCGCAAGTTTCATGCTTTGAAGGAGAACAAGAAGGGGTACATGGCTACCTCAAATTAAAGGGCTTTCCGTTCTTTAACCAGACATCATTTTTACTTATCTATTCATGATTTAACCAGTGCATTATTTTATTATTAATTCCCAGAGAGCTAATACTTGTAGAACATCACTATAGAATTTTCTCTCATGTTAATTTACAGAGTATTTTGGATGCATAGCTTCCTGCCAGCAGAGTCCTTCCTTTTACACCTGCATCAAAAAGAGACCACAAAAACAAAGATTTATCGGGTATGCACTTTTCAAGAACACACACACACACGATTCTTGGAAGACGAAACAAAGATTTATCGGGTATGCACTTTTCAAGAACACACACACACGATTCTTGAAAGCCGGTGTGTGTGTGTGTGTGTGTACACATATATATTATGGATTGGATTGTGTATTTTAATATTGATGATGTAAAAAACGATGACAAAAGATGAAATTACAGCCAAAGCACATCAGGTTGGCTACCGACACGTTAAGATTCTTCTGATAAAAGTTAATTTGGAGTAATTCCTATTAAATGATCAAATGTGCATCACTTAATTTGGAGTAATTCCTATTAAATGATCAAAAGTGCATCACTTGATGATCTTTCGATCGCCCATTAATCTGTGTTAATTTGTACTGTGTCGGTTGACACAGTAATAGACCTTTTGTAAACATCTGACCTACAGATTCCTTTTCATGAGGTTGATATCTAGTCTGCTATATATTGAAATGCTTTGCTGTTTTTTGTTCAATATAAATTAATATGCTGTACAATTATTTTTCTATCTTTGTGTAGTGTATGAATCAGGTTTGAGTATGGTATCTATCTTTGATCAAATTAACCCAGGCTTGCTTTTTAGCTATGGACCACAAGGGTTGCTACTGCCTTCTCAGTTTGGAATTAACCCTCACCTAAAAACCCTTCAAACCACAAATTCCAGCACTAACTCGAGTGTTAATAATGATAGGTGGAAGATTTATTGGACTGTGGACCATAGTCAGCTCAACACCAATCAAGAATCCATTAAGCATACTTCTAACACTTGCTTCACATTTAAACAACTTGCTTTATATTACTAAATCTCGATTTTTAATGTATAAATGTGACTAATGTATTTTCTTCATATTAATTAGCCATGAACAGTTGCTCTTGGAGTGGCCAAATACCCATCTTAATATTTCGGAGTTGGGATTGACAATTACAACTTGATCCGTGAGCATGAACGCACTAAGAAATTAGGGTTTTTTCCCTTTCATTTTCTTTTCCAATCTGCGACGGGAGGACAACGAATTAAATGGCGAGGAAAAGTATGATCCATAGGGAGCTAAAGAGTACAAAATATTGCCCTTTCCTTTTAGGGCTGACACATGTTTTCAATCAGATCATAGTATGTTCATGATGCCTTCTCCTTTGGATAGTAGAAACAATATATCTTTCTCCTATGTACAAATGAATCTTGCATGAACACAATAATTGCTGGTTCGACTTCAATGAGACACATGAATGTTTAACAGTGATGACATACCTAATTTCCGGTTGCAGACGCTTCTGGCAATGTAAAGAAACGTTATGGCGATAAAAAAAGTTGGGTCTAGTATTTTATGAACTTAACTGTAAAAACACATCAAAGGGGACCTAAATCGATCCACAAATTATTAGTAGACCACCTCTCATGTTTTTTATGGATATGAACGGCTCATGATTGCATATTCAGGCCAATTTAATTACATAATGTGACCAGCTAATCCAACCCATAAATATTCTGATCACCAGTCTTTAACTTTCGTTAGCTGTACAATTCAATAATAATCAATCAAGGATGGCCTTTTGCTTTATTCTCTTGAATTCATAAGTGGCATGAATATTTAATTACCATCTGTTACTTTCACTTTTAGAGGGGACATGTTCATTATTTCCACTAATCATGCTTGCTTAAAGGAAAACAATTGGGATCACAGATAGGTGCTGGCTTGTCTGGTCTAATAGACGTTAGCTTTTCTTTAGAGGAGAAAGAGTTGGAAAAGCTATAGATTTTCTTGTGCTTTGTGACTGTGGAAGGAGATGCGGGAATTAAAGAATATTAAATAAATAAGAAAATAATTGATAAAACGCGCTGCACATTCTACTCCTATAGTGCTGTAACTTTTGTCTTATTTCTTAAATTAATTATTTGATCTTTAATTTCAATTATTTTAAAGGTATTGATTAGCTTTATTATCTCGTTTGTTTTGAGACAATAAAGAGAATTATTTTTCAAAACAATTTTATTTTTTTTCATGGAAAGATCGATCCAAACCGATTACTGCATGGGGAAATTAAACAGCAGTACTACTTTTAATAATAAAAAAAAATGCCTTCTTGCATTTTTTATTTTTAAAGTAAGAACTAATAACTTTAATTTCATAAGATAATTAGAAATTGTGCATGTAGGATGACAATAACAACTAAACAAAAGCTTTGTATTTAATGGATTTACATTTATTTATTTTATATTTAAGGGCACAGTGCCTAGTTTCAAGATTTTCAACTGCATTTTCATTCATGTCTGCCTGCATTTCTTTTATTAGAGAATTTCTTCTTGTGCCCTCCATTTCTCTTACCTTCAAAGCAATAGGAGGGAGTCAGTACAGATTATAATCTGTTATGGATCATATCCTTTCCCTTATATCCTTATGGAAATTGATTTCGTTGGCACACCAAAATCTCAAAATTAGAACCATTGTCGTCTACACTGAATTAAATTCTCAACACTGAGTATTGTAAGAAGATGGATAAACACTATTATTCCTCTCTTTTACATACTACTGGTCATTCATGGCTGTTGATTTTTTTTGTAAGTACACAATTTTCACCCTAACTTTTTCCCTATTTCACACGCCTTTAAGGGTCACTAAAGTTGCTGTCATTTATCGTTGTTATGCACTCTCACATCAAATAAAAAGGTAAAGCTAGCTTTTGCACTTCATGTATATATGCTTCCTGTCCTATTGTTCTGATCGTAGAGCAGCAATGGTTTTATATATCAATAGCGACGGTACGGTACTGTTCCGTTTCCCCACCAGATGGGAAGAGAGCTATGTTATTGCTTTGCCCTGCCATTTCCCTTTTACGTGACGCACTTGATTTTTCTTTATAGCAAATCGGATGGCTTATTTACATTTAATTGTGCATAGAGATGCGTATAAAATTAAAGTCAAAGTGAAAAATCCAATTAGCAGGCTTAAATGAAAGCTAATTATTTGACAATGAAATACTTTCATGGCTACATTCATCCGAATTGGATGATATGTTTCTGCTTTTAGGAAGATTATTAGGGACCAGTCGTACCATGCTAATTATATTAGCCAGAACCCATTCTCTCTCTCAAAGGAAATGTCACATCTTCTTTATTTTTTTCGGTGCTAAAAATGTCACGTCTTCCACCAGAACAATGTTGGGAGTGTGGTTGAAGATAGATAAGTCTTCTATATTTTGATCGGTGAAGGTTCATACTGGTTTTGTCCCTGCTTAATTTTGAAGATCTAGACTATCAAGGTCTTTTGATAGGTAAGTCTTCTATTTTTGTTCTTGTAGAAGTGCTCGACGGTAGGCATCTTATCATTCATTCAGTATCGATTATGACTCGACGGTAGGCATCTTATCATTAATTCATTATCGATGACTTCTGGCTTATCAGAAACATGTACAAGCATTATTATTGCTTAAATGCAGGTCAAAAGAACATAGAATACACCATTTTAAATCTAATCAAGATGGGTCGTGGAGAGAAATAAATTGAATATCAAGTGCGCAGTACTGAAAAAGTCTTCCTAAATGTGGATACATTTATTCATAAATAATAATAATGATATCTTCAAATCAGCATATAGAAGATCGTCTGCTGCTATTGAATGATGATGCTCCACGACTGTGAACCTGATCTTAAACACAGCATGTCACATGATTGTCAAACGATGGAGTCGTTTCATGGAACAGAATTTCACCTTATTAATTAGGAAAGACTGTTGTGCTGGGAGACACGTACCTTGACATGATGCCCTAGCTGCCATATCATATCTCTTCAGCTACTTTCCGGCCTTCATATACAAGGAGGTTCCTTTCTTATGGTAATATGTCTGTTTGGTTGGCTTGGTAGTCATCTCCTTGGTGACTTTTTGTGAAATCTTTCGAATTTTCTTAACGAACCCATTTCACATCCAGAAAAAGAGGAAGAAGAAAGAGGTGATAGCAGGAAGAAGAAGTCACATTTACTTCAGAAAATACATTAAAGGACATATGAGAAGTCATTAACTTGAGAAATCAGGTCATGTACGAAAAATGGTAAAAACAGTGGTGTTCTATACCTAATGGCCAAAGCAAGGAGCCTGAATGTCATCCCACCGAAGAAATTTGGACGATTGTCCATAGTTGGGACTGCATTTCAGAGATTCTTTCTTGTTTTTAGAAACAAAGCTTGCTTCGTCTACTAGCTTAAATATTACTCAATGAACAATAACATCCATGCGTTCCAAAAGTCATGTGTTCCGGTTCATAAATATCTGAATTATTTCTGGTTTTTTATTATATGCTTTAATTAAAACCCAAGCACCTTTAGCTGTATAATCCCACAAAGCTGACTTCAATGGATATACACTAATGGACTAGGCATATCTTGAATGCTAAATGAGTATTATTGGTCTAATATTAGAAACTATAAGCAGTGCATTAACAATATTTCTATTAAGGTGTTCAGATCTGCCATGCCCCTCTGTCTGCCCAATTATAAACTAGTTTTGGTGGACCTCAGCCTTATGCATCAGCATTCTTTCATACTAGACATTAAAAGCAATAGGCCTTTTCATTTCATGTCTTGCATTAGGTAAAGATTCCCTTAACAAAGCTTCATTATTTTTATCTTATAGGTCTTCCCCCCACTTCAATTATGATCCACCATGAACACACAGCCAGCTAGCTTTTGTGGTGTAGTTGTTCTTCTTCTTTCAAAGCACGAGCTCATCCTTGCAAGGTACGAGAAGAGAAAGATTAAAAAACCTTTTTTAAAACTATTCTTCTATGTCTACCATGTTAGAAAAAAAATCAAAGGCTTACGCTTAGGACCTAGGCGCAGAGCCCAGCAGCTAAGATGGTGAGCAGTTTATTGATTTGGTCTGCAATGATGAGCTTAGCTACTTGTCAAAGCAATATAAAGAGCCCGTATATATAAAGTGATTGAAACAGCTAACAATCAAGAAGAGAGGCAACTAACTTTTTATTCCCTTGGCTGTAATAATTAAGCCAATGAGATGTTTTGCAAGTTGTAGATTGTCCTAATTGGCTGGACCCCATCTGATCATCATAGTATGCCAAGAATCATATATAGTAGATACAAAATGGGCACTGCATGATCTCTAAAGTGAAAAAAACAAATATTGTTCTACGATCTCTTTTAGCCTATGATAAATTAACACTTGCCTTGAAGCAGTTTTGAAATATTATAAGGAGCATGTATGATTCACTATGTTTTGGTCAGAAACTGTTAATTTGGAATGGTTAAAAATAAAATAAAATTGATAATATATAACATGATAATTAATTACTTTTTGAAGTGAAAGCCCTTGATCAATGTGAAAGATAATTAGGAATCTCACCAACCACTCCAAGTTGAAATAATTCTCTGCAACTTAACACAGAAATCAACAAAAGGGATATGTAAGAATTATGGGAATTTTCATGGACTGCAATGCAGAACCAAGTACAAATTAAAGGCTTTGAGTTAGATATTCAAGATTCAAAAGGACAATAATATTTTCAGAAAGAGGGCTAAAGGAGGGTTGATCAATTGTGTAGGTTTGTAAAGTTTTGAGACCATCAGCTAGGCAGCGAAGAAATGGAAGCAAACCCCAATAATTTAAACACAGAATACACCATTGTATGATTTGCAAGTTGCACAAGTCCTCAACTACCACTGTGGAGATCCCACCAGAAAAGAGAAAGAGTAGAGGTAAAAAAAAGACTGATGTCAGAAAGTGAGAGAGTGACAAGTTTTAACCTTTTTCGCAGAAATGCACGAGATCATGTTAGAAATAAACCAAAAGGCAAGAGGAAGAACTATTATCATTAACGATAAAAAGGAAAGGTAGAAATCTTCTCTGCAAGAAACACAAAATTCAACCTTTTTTTCACAATCTTTATCCAATGATCAGGATTTATATTAATTTTAAGGATAGTAATCTCCAAAAACTAGATACAACTTGCAAAATATTATGTTACCCTGTTCGTGCATGGTTTAAATGGTTTGAAGCCTAACTTATCTTTTCTCCAACAGCCAAAAAAGGAAAATTTTGAGGAAAATGATAGAGGATGAAACTCCATATCATAATTCCGCACAATAATCAAATCTTTATCAAGAAAACAAAAAATGGTCATCGATTACAAGAGAATTTTCCTAAAAGGAAAATTAAAGAAAACCATTAAAAAAGCTGCAAAAAAGGGTCTAAATGACAAGAGAATTCATAGAATTACCATGATCCATACAGGGAGGAAGAACATGAATGGTTTTTGTATGCATTCCATGAAGGAAAGGAGAGGTCTTGACCGTAACAGCAAGAAAAGAGCCCAGAAAAATCCTGAATTGCCATGTTCTCCCACAGCTTTCTTGAGCTTCCATGGCGCTATATACGTATGGGAGCTATACAAGTTGTGATCTATATATACACAGATTAAGCAAGGCAAAGAAGTTCAAGAAAGCTGTGGAAAAGCATGACCAGGATTTGCAAGATTAAACCAAAAACCTTCAAATTTTCTCAGATCTCATATCCCTTTATTTTTCTTTCGTTCAAGTGAAAATATAGTGATATAGTGAGAGAAACAGAGAGATGGAGCATGCCCATACAAATTCTCATGGACCACTCTAACATATATATATATATGTATATATATATATATATTGCAACCAGCTTTATAGAGAAGGAGAGTAGGGTTCCCTTCACTCACAAGAACGCATTTTACTCACAAAAAGCCTACTTTTACTAGTGAGTGCGCAGTGGGGTACAGATAAAACAGTTGTGTTGGTAAAGAAAAACAAAAGAAAATTTTACAATTTCTTTATATATATATATATAATTGTATATTTTTTTTGTGAAATAATTAATATTCAATCCTGAAATTGAGATTTTAAATTTGAGTTTCTCTAAATATATTTTTATAAATTGATTTATTTTTGTAAAATTGGATCTCATAAATAAATTATACAAACAAATTCTACAAAATCTCTTTAAATGTATAAAAAACCAAACTAAAAACAATATTAGGAGCTTGATTGATAATGTTCGTTAGGATTATAGTTATTAAACACTGTCTAGGCAAAACTTCATGTCATAAATCAGATGAATTAACTTAAATTACTCTAATTTTTTTAAAAATATATTAAAAAAATATTTTTTAAAAAATCAATGGATTTTAACATAGTTAACATGAGTTTTTAATAAAATTACACTAATCCAAGTTAGATCTTAGATTAATTAGGTCTAAATTAACTCATTGAGTCGATCCAAGTTTCATAATAACCATCAAAATAAAAAATGCTGAAATCTAAATAGAAAAGGAAAACAATGATTTTCCATAATTTGGTTAGGTTTGTTGAACAATGGAAAAAAAAAAAAATGAAGAGGGGAGATTAACAAGAACATGCCATCCCCGTTACATGTAACCATGTGAGCTAGATCTCTTTTTTTTATTTTATTGGTAATTTAAGGTATGGGTTGTTCAAGGTCCCCCAATCCTTATGTTTTTTTTCTTTATCCTACATATTAACCTATCCATAACAATTCCCGTGATCATCATAAATCATGTTGGAGACATCATTTTAATGCAGATTTAGATCATTCATGTTAAAAAAAAAAAAGAAATTAGTTAATATTTGGGTATTAACTTAATAGACAACACAAATAATTAAGATAATATTTGGTTATTGTCTCAAGACACAACAACATAAAGATAAAAAATATCTTTTTAATTTTAAATTTTAAAATAAAATTTTTTTTATTTATTTTATTTTAAGTATTTATCTCTTCAATATAATGTATTTCTATCTTATCTGTTTCTATTGCTTTTATTATAAGATACTAATCAAATACAAGTTGGTTTTTATTATGGTTATTGCGATGCATAATGTCCTTCTAAAACTTCCTAGCTAACTAGAATACTGTACATAATTAAAAAAAGCTAAAAAGAAAATTTTCATAAAATGTTTGTTTTATATTTTTATATATTTTTGATTCGCATAATAAATATAATTTTTTCGGTAATAAATATAATCCTACTGAAAAGAAAGAAAAAATCAAACGGAGACACCTTTTCAGCGAGGAGCCGGTAGCCAAGCTTGATAAAGAAATAGTATTTGAAGGACTAGTGACCGTTCCACAATTTTTCTATTCTTCTTTTTTTAATTTCTTCAAATTCTATTTCAAAACTATATATATATATATATATATATATATGCAGTCAAGGAAGTATTTAATTTTGAAAATTAGAATAAGAACTAAGAGCCAAATAAAGAAATCCAATAAAACTTAATTAATAGATGACCAATTTTTGCCGAGGATTGTGAAATCTCATTTTTTTAATTTATTTTTAAAATTAAAATTATGTTTTTTTAATTAATATTTTAAATTATATATGAACAGTACAAAATATAAACCGGGATGAAACTGAGAATCTTGATTTTTCCAATGAAAATATATATTTAGATATGTAATCTAAAATGTATATATTTATGAATTACATGACGATGATGATCACATGATGTGTGGTGACGATGTTAAGGGTGTGGGCCAGAAAGGGAAGAGATGGAGGAGTTCGGTGTGGGCCCCCACCATACTCAAAACAGGGACATTGTTTTTGTGTTATAATTGTTAAGAAATTAGACCCACTACAGTCGAGTCCACCTCACTGCCAAACTGTTGCTATATCCACAGAGTTTTATGATATTCAGTTTGCTTTTCGTTTCGAAGTACGGTTCAAATGGCCGGCGGTATATTTCAACGGCCAAGATACATAATTATGGCCACCGGTTTATTCTTTACATCACGGGTTATATTAAAAATTATAAAATATTTTTTAAATGAAAATAGTATTACTTTAAAAAATATTAAAGCTAACTTAATTATATCTTATATAACATTAAATCAACGAGATTAATAACTGGTTCAGCAAGTTACCCAAATGTAATTAAATTAATATTTATTTTGTTTTTTTTTTTTAAATACTTTTGTGCTTTATGGACAATTTATTCCCACATTAAGAAACATGTACAAGATTTCTCCAGTTTTCTCACAACAGTCCCAGAAAGAATCCAAGAAAAGAGACAAGTCTATGTTTGCCTACGACGTGCTTTACTTCTTGATGTGAGAGTGTTTTTTCTTCTAAATCTTGAAAGAATTTTCCAACAAAAGACCTAACCATATTTGGAAAATTGATTAGATAAGATTCAAGTAATTTATTGATAATTGATGTTGTTTAGAGATGAGTGAAATCAACAATTAGATGCTTAATTGTTTCATTTATCAATTAAGTAATTGATAACACCTAATAATATCAATTAATCGGTCACATCTAATTATGTTAGTTAAATGTAAGCTTCTTAAAATATTTAAAAATTAAATTTGAGTTATTATCATCCTTGAATCTGTTTTGAGCAAGCCACGTGTTCACCTACCAAAAAGCCCATTATTATATTTGACCGTAGGACAAACACGTTGTATGTTCATCTTAAATATCAACACTAGGGGAAGAAAAAAAAACACTGAGCGGGCATGTCTTTTGTTTCCGCAAATTAGTATTTGACTTCTAACACTGAACTTTTTCGACAAACACGTTGTATGTTCATCTTAAATATCAACACTAGGGGAAGAAAAAAAAACACTGAGCGGGCGTGTCTTTTGTTTCCGCAAATTAGTATTTAACTTCTAACACTAAACTTTTTCTTTTTTTAAAAAAAAAAATGTTAAAGCATTTAACGTATTGATTGTTTTTTAGTTTGATAATAAGAAATATTATTGGATTAGCTTATCAATAAAAAACTAATTAGAGAAACATTTTCATGATTGAAATCATTATTTATTGGAATAATAATGTCATGGTTCTTTCCATCCATAAAAGTTTGAAACCGATTCTTAAGAATATTTTAGTTATTTTATAAGATTTATTAGTTATTATTAAATTGATAAAAAATAAATAAATTTTTTCTCATTTTAATGTATAGTGAAAGTATCAAAATATCTTAGAAAAAAAAAAGAAAAATTAATTGGTATCAAGGGACAATTTTGTACTCTCATAAAATTTAAAATTAAATGTCTTGGAACAATGCCATTTAAATATAATTTAAAAATAAAATGAAAACTAACTGGGTAATATGTTTTATTTTAAAATATATTAATATAAAAAATTATTTTTATATCAATATTAAAATAATTTAAAAGCAATAATAATAATAATAATTTAAAATAATAAAAACATAAAAATATTTTTTTCAAAAATATTTTTAAAACATAAAAATAAAAAAATTATATTTTCATAATCAAGATCTCATCTCCAAACAAGACTTAGTTACTAGTTGGATCTAGATTCAAGTTTATCTTAGATGTATAATGTATTTTTTAATAAAAATAAAATGAATGATGTGTTTAATAAAAATAAGGTGATTAGTTTCATAAGCTATACGAGGTTGAGGTTGATATGAGATAATTCAAAACATACCTATTTTAATAATTTTTTATAAAAAATAAAATATTATTTAAAAAATTAAATTGAATTTTAATTGAACTATGAATTCATCTATTGTGTTCATAAGGTCATAATTAATTAACTTTTTTTAATTTTAATTTATATATTCACTTGTTATTAAGTTGATTTATCGATTCAAGTAATTTATCGATAATTGATGTTGTTTAGAAATGAGTGAAATCAACAATTAGATGCTTAATTGTTTCATTTATCAATTAAGTAATTGATAACACCTAATAATATCAATTAATCGGTCACATCTAATTATGTTAGTTAAATGTAAGCTTCTTAAAATATTTAAAAATTAAATTTGAGTTATTATCATCCTTGAATCTGTTTTGAGCAAGCCACGTGTTCACCTACCAAAAAGCCCATTATTATATTTGACCGTAGGACAAACACGTTGTATGTTCATCTTAAATATCAACACTAGGGGAAGAAAAAAAAACACTGAGCGGGCGTGTCTTTTGTTTCCGCAAATTAGTATTTAACTTCTAACACTAAACTTTTTCTTTTTTTAAAAAAAAAAATGTTAAAGCATTTAACGTATTAATTGTTTTTTTAGTTTGATAATAAGAAATATTATTGGATTAGCTTATCAATAAAAAACTAATTAGAGAAACATTTTCATGATTGAAATCATTATTTATTGGAATAATAATGTCATGGTTCTTTCCATCCATAAAAGTTTGAAACCGATTCTTAAGAATATTTTAGTTATTTTATAAGATTTATTAGTTATTATTAAATTGATAAAAAATAAATAAATTTTTTCTCATTTTAATGTATAGTGAAAGTATCAAAATATCTTAGAAAAATTAAATATCTTGGAACAATGTCATTTAAATATAATTTTAAAATAAAATGAAAACTAACTCGGTAATATCTTATCTAGATATGGCTAGATTAACTAAATTAAAAACTGATTTACTAAATTACTTTAATTTAACCAAATCAATTTTTATCTTGGTTTTTTATATGATAATAAAATATTTTTTTCACATCACAAGATTCCTATTGCAAGCATTAAAAAAATTACTAAGACCAACCTCAAATAAATATAATTTTAAATAATTAAATAAAAAAACTAAATAGCTAAAATGACAAAAAAATGATTATAACAATGTGTAAATCTTT